TTGGAGGCCTGAGGTTGAATTTTGAATTCTGACTAGGGAGGATTTTGTTTTGTTTTTGTTGTTTTCCTGTGATTTTTTTTCTTCTTTTGGTTTCCTCTGCTCTCTGGTGGGCACAATATTTTCATCCTGGAAGTGGGGATAGGGGTTAAACTCAGCCTGGAAAGGAAACAGAGGCCCCAGGGAGGTAAGGACCCGCCCTGGGCCACCCAGCTTGGCAGGGTGCAATAAAAGAGCCCTGGTGGAGGAGCTAGGCCAGATTGCCTATCTCTGTGCTATATCAGTGTCGAATTTCTTTATTTGAATGGGGAGAGAGGGCAGCCTCCCTCTGCAGGTAGAGAAGGTGGTGTGGAATGTGGCTGTTTGTTTTTCTTTGCCTGTGAAAGCCTCATTTCAGCTCACATTGACTGTGCAGGGCTTCTGAGACAAAAGACATTCTCTAGGGGTGCCTGACCAAGGTGGGCATTGAGAAGGCACCCACCATCTGAGTGGAAACTATGAAACGGGCACCATCCTTCTGCCTGCTCCAATGAGGCCTCCAATGGGTCCCGTTCGTCTCCATATCTCCTGGCAAACTGTAGGTTGCTTGGAAAGCCAGGGCAGCCTTCCTGACAAACAAATCTTGTTCACATGGAGAGGGGGAGGCTGGGTGAGCCTATCTGCTCGCCTCCCCCTACCCAGACGTCTCCCCACCCAGCTGGCACCCTATATATATTTCTAAGACACCTTGAAGGGGCTCCAGTATCATTGTCATTTCTTAAGCCGTCAAAATGAGAGCCCCTTGTACTAGGGAGGTGGATTCTAGGAATGAAGGGGGTGATCATGAGGCAGGGCTTTCTGCAATGGCTGCCCCTCTTTCCCTTCCACCCCTCCTCTTCAGCCCACTGGCGGCTGAGAGAGGAAGCCCTGCCGGCAGGTAGCAGAGAAAAGACACAGGATCCAAGGGGGAGTTGCAGTGAAAGCAAACAAACAGGCCTTTGTGTGGCTTCAGATTGGCGGCTCAGAAGGGAAGCCAGGCTTGTGGTAGGCGAGAGAGGGAGGAGGTATGGGAAGTCAGGCCTTTGCTTCTGGCCTTAGTTGGGCTGTAATCAGCCCGAGCTGGGTGACGAGGCCCATTCCTGTAGACAGGCAAAGCTTGGGCCCTGCCGCTTGACTTATGAACACATCTAACGGATTTACTCCTAGGAGCTATCAAACCTTAGTAGTGTAACAGGCCTAGCCAGTGCCAGACTCCGGTCCCACTTTGCTGCCTATGGCTGCTAGGAAGAAATGAAGTAGTAGGGAGAGAATCACGACCACCTGGGAGGACAGACTTTTCAGAGCTAAGAACACGGCGTGTGGGGGGATTTCAGTGGGGGAGGCAGCTCTGCGGAGGGGAAAGCAGGTTTACAATGCAGTGACAGGCATTGGGGGTCGCGGACCCCCAGGTCTGGGAGCCAAATTGTCTCATCACTGGTGCAGGCCGCCGGGCTGGGGACAGGCACGAAGACTGGCTTCCCCACAAGAGAATGTGAGGGGGCGTCTCGGGTAGTAGTGGTAGTGGAGTCTTATTCATTATCCTAGTGAGGAGACACCGGCACGGGCCAGCCTCCAGGCGGCTCAGACCAGGATCCAATCCACGGAGGGGCGGTCCGGCCAGACGATCAGGCAGCTGCGTGGTCGCTCCGGGGCCATTTCCTCTCCTCTCCACGACCTCGAAACGGGCGGCGGGAGGGCAGACGCCCGCGCTTCCTGCCCGCCAGCCCCGGGCGCCCCCCTAGGCTGCGTTCCACCCGGGAGGTGCACGGGGCGGGGCGGGCACTGCGTCGCTATGGC